CAAGCCGACCGTACGCGTCCGCCTGGAGGACCGCTTCAACAGCATGCCGGCCGAGCCGCCTGCGCCTCGCGGTGCTGAGCCCGGCGAGTCGGGCGTGGCGCTCAACAAGTGCGTGCGGGGCGCGGGGCCGTCGGGGAGGAGGGGTCTTCTCACAGCGCTGTTGCCGTCTGACGGATCATTCTGGGCACCTGCTGGGTCTGGGTGGATACCTGGAAGGGCTCCGGCGGGGCCACCTCTTGGGTCTGGGAGGATACCTGAACGTGGTCAGCAGGGCTACTTCCATGGCTGCATGGACATCAGCCTTTCCCAAAGATCTTTGGGAGGTTCAGTGTAAAGAGGCAGGCAGTCTGGATACTAGATATAGGGGGGTCTCATGCCGGCCTGCTCTGAATTAACCTGAGGATGATTCTGGAAGCTGCACACTATACAAGTGCTGCGTGGCAATTCTAAAGAGTACCTTGGGGCTTGTGGACCTTCGGGCTGTCTTCTACACCCCCAAAAGAGGAGAGGAAGAGTTCTGAGGACGGTACCCTTTGCTTCTGTCTCTCCCCTGAGTGCCATGGGGAGCTGCTCTGGCCTCCAGTGCAGACTTGGACCTGTGGAGTGGAAAGGCAGGAGTTTTAAGATTAAGCTGAAACCTGTGGTAGTTCCTGGCCCACTTAATGCTCTCCCAGGTAGCTGTTGAAGACACTGACTCCGCAGTTTTCCACTCACCCAGCTGTCCTGGTCTTTTCCATCCTTGCCAGATTTGGAGGATGACAGAGATTGGTTATCAGGGAGTGCTGCAGGCAGGGAGGAGGCAAAGTGAACTTCACCAGCACCACTGGCCAGTGGATCATGCAGGCCATGTCCAGGACTGCTTGAGAAGCAGGGCGGAGTCTAGCATGACCTGTTAGTGGTGGAATGGGTGATGGCAATGTTTCGGGAGCCTCTCCGCCACATATTCCTCAGGTTTCTGGGTTTTCTTTTGTCTTGGCAGTTTGGTAACTCTTATTCGACATCCATCTGAATTAATGAATGTTCCTCTTCACCAGCAACAAAACAAATGTACGACCTTAGTGAAAAATAAAACTGCTGCTGCCACTACTGCTTTGCAGTTCACCTACCCGCTGTTTACAAGTGCCTGTCCCACTGGTGGGAATGCCAGCCTTGCACAGACACAGGTAAAGCTTTTTCATCTGTGTCAAATTCAGGGCTGGTAACTTAGTTTGATCTTGTCCCAGGATTTTTTTTTTTTTTTAATGGAACTGGTGACCTTTGTAAGTTGTAATATTTATATTGTTAGGCATTATTTAAAAACCTAGTAAAAGGGCTGGAGAGATGATTCAGTGGTTAAGAATGCATACTGTTCTTGTATTGGATCCTAGGTTGGTTCCCATCTCAAAACTGCCTGTTAATTCCTGCTTTAGGAGGGGATCCTTCTGGCATCCAGAACCTACAGTCATGTGCACAAATCCACACATACACATAGTTAAAATCTTTTTTAAAAATGAAAGTTTTTCAGAAGGTTTGAGCATAATTGTATTGAGTGCAGTTTACTTGTGCTGTAGAGCTGACATAGCCACATATTGATACAATTTCTGTTACTTAATTTTTTTCCAGAGTTCTAGTAACTCATGTTCTATACTGGAAGCTGCCAAGCACCAGGATATTGGACTGCCTAGAGCATTTTCTTTCTGTTACCAGCAAGAGATTGAGTCCACCAAACAGACAGGAGGTAGTAGAAACAAAGCCTTGCCCGAGCAGGTTTGGATTAAGGTGGGAGGTAAGTGATAAATCAGCAGGTCGTGGCTGTGTGTGTGCTCTTGACAAGCTGTAGCTGCACAATTTAGGCTCTGGTGGGTGGGGACAGGAGAGGACTTTTATATACACATGTGTAAGAAGTGTTAGGTATTCCTGATCCTCATCTTTGAACTTTTTTTCTGAACATTATAGTTAACTCAAATTTTGGTTATTTTGAATTTGGGAGCTTTTTCTTTTCTTTATTTTTATTATTTATTTATTTATTTATTTATTTTGGTTTTTTTGAGACAGGGTTTCTCTTTGTAACAGTCCTGGCGGCTGTCCTGGAACTCGCTTTGTAGAACAGACTGGCCTTGAACTCACAGAGATTGCCTGCCTCTGCCTCCTAAATTCTGGGATTAAAGGCTTGTGCCACCACTGCTCAGCGGGAACTTTTTCTTAACAGTAAAATGACAACAGACTCACAGACATCTCCAGGTGCCATAGCCACTGGAAGTACTTTGTAGTTTATTTCATACTTTGTGAGTGATGATGGAGTCTGAAATCAGCTGAAAGCTCCAAAGAGATAGAAATAACACTGTCATGGCAGTGGTTGGGCTTGGCAGAGGCCACTGGATGATCACAAGGTCTGGAGTGTAAAGAAGCTCCACCAGCAGATCAGTTTCTTGATAGTCACTTCAGCCCCTCCCTCCTTGGGAAGGTTTTCTTTCAAGAGATAGGAACTACTACTCCCTGAAGCACTCAGAGCTGCTGAGGCAGGATGAGATGGAAACTGCTTCTTCCTGTCAGCCCTCAGTTTTGTTTGTCAATACTTTTTATTTGAAAATCCTTCTGTGAAATATAGATGAGCACTAATGTGGGACTGTGCCTATTGCTAAGGCTAAGAAAGAAAACACCAGAACTTCTGAATTTGTTTCTCTGTCTCTATTAAAATGTGATCCAGAATTGGTGTTAAGGCTTTTTGTGACAAGTGGGAGAGCATATCACCTGCTTACTTTCTTTTATCTGATTGAATTTGACTTATTTCTATACTATGTGCACAATATGTAAGTGCAAAAGCTGATTTTTTCTTTGCTTTTTTGTGGAATCACTTGAACATGAAAACATACTTAACTGAATCAGTTAAGTTTTATCCTGAGGTAAGGTATCAATTTTCATATTAGAATAATTGGATGTGAAGAAAAATTTTTAGTGAAAATATTTGAAACATTCTTTCCATCCTAAATTCTAGAAAAAAGAAAACAGTGTTTTGGTTTCTGTATTCATGGGTAATAACAGCTGTTAATTAAAAGGGAGGGGTGGGGGATTTAGTTCAGTGGTAGATCAGTGGTTCAGCTCTATGAAAAAGAGGGAGGATCTGACATAGTTGTGTTGGTTGCATAACATTCATTTGGTTTGGTTTGTGGGTTTGTTTGTTTGATTGATTGATTGATTGATTGAGACAAGGCTTCTCTGTGTACTCCCTGTCTGTCCTGGAACTTACTCTGTAGGCCAGGCTCAGAGATCCACCTGCCTCTACTGGGATTAAAGGCATGCCCCACTACTACCCAGTCAGAAGGGGTGATTTGATTGTGCTGTAGGATTAGAGCTCAGTGCTTAGTGCTCAGAGTCTGCCATCATAGCTCCTTGTTTCTTTAATTCGTACTTGATAGTGTTAGAATCTTGGATTGAAATGCAAAACATGTCTATGCATGGGTGAGTGCACAGGCACATACAGTCAAGAAAGAAAAGGAAAAACAAAAAACAAAAAATAATGGTGCACACTTGTAGTCCCAGCACTTAGGAGGCTCAGGAATTCACAGACATTCTTGGCTACATTGTGAGTTAAGGCAGTACTGGACTTTGTGAGGCTCTTTCTCAGAAAAAAAAACAAGATGCCCAGCAAAGATAGTCTACATTAATGGGAATGAGTTAAAAATAAAAAACTAAATGACGGCTTTTTTCTTCTTTTGCAAAGAAGAAGCGCTATGTAAACAAGCAATCAATAAGAGGAATCGGAGTAGAATCCGCCAGTTGGATACAAGTGTGGAGCGAAGAGCCCTTGGAGAGATTCAGAATGTGGGCGAAGGCTCTACAGCTTCACAGGGTACCTGGCAGTCTTCTGAGTCCTCACAGTCAAACCTGGGGGAGCAGACGCAGAGTGGACCCCAGGGAGGAAGGTCTCAGCGTCGGGAGAGGCATAACCGAATGGAAAGAGATAGAAGGTAATATAGCATGGACTATTGGCTCAGTTCATACAGTTGTCTTAGATGTGCTGGCTTTTTGTATGATAGTCCACCCTCTGTATGGAGGCTGAGGAGTCTTCAAGACTCAGTGATCTCTGGTGGACTCATCTCTCACTGACTACAGTGGCAGAGTACAAGGCACAATGATCCAAGGTATGTGGGAAGAGCTAGGGAGCACATTCCCAGGAGTCTTCTCCTGGAAGGTTACGTAGGACCTCCTAATTGATGACTTCAATGTTGTGCTCCAAGGGCACCAACAGGGTGCCACCAAACAGGAGGGCTCATTAGAGGCTCAGAGACTGTGTTGGTGCCCATCACACGATAGTTCCTATCTGGCACACTCTGAATACCAGGCTCTCAGTGTGAGCCATGTTGCTTGCAGAGTTGTGGTCCTGTGGGCTGTTCTTCACTAATCTCCCCAAGCCCAAGTTCCCAGACACTAGGAGAAGGCCAGTTTTGTCAGCAGGTCCTTAAGGAGAGTATTGGGCCTTCAAGGTAAATACACAGTAGGTAACATTGTACCTTTGTGTTTTATTTGGGGAAGCCAGATATAGTTGCACACATTTGTGATTGCAGTGTTCAAGAGGCTGAGGTAGGAGGATTGCTTCAAGTTTGAGGACAATCTGGGATATATAGTGAACTATAGGTTAGTCTTGAATAGCAAGACCCTACATCCAAAAGAAAAAAAGAAAAAGAAAAAAAATGTTGGAAAAGAGGAGGTTAAAACTGTTATTGAAGTGAGTTATAAAAGTGAGTTTACCTGTGGATTTTATATGTGCTACTCTAGGTAGTATAAAAGGTTAATTTTCCTCTATTGAAGTTGGGTTTTTATTACAGTGTTTAATAATAATAATCAATTTGGTCATTTATGAGTATTGCATTTATATTTTCAGCTCAGGAATAATAGTATTTAACAAGATATTATTGTGCATTGAAGTTTAATTATTGAATAACCCAAGGTGATTTATTGCTTTTTAGAGGATGTGTTAAAACTAGATAGATACCTTTCTTCTCTATTTTTTTTTAAAACAAGGCTGGCCTCGAACTCACAGAGATCTGCCTGCCTCTGCCTCCCAAGTGCTAGGATTTCTTCATTTTTAGTTAAAAAAAATTTTTTTTAATGTATGAGATATTTTGCCTGCATGTATGTTTGTATACTACTTGTGTGACTGTAGAGGCCAGAAGAGGGCACTGGATTCTGAATCTAGAGTTACAGGTGGTTGTGAGCCACTATGTAGGTGCTGGGGATTGAACCTGGGTCCTCTGGAAGAGCAGCTAGCCACTGGGCCTTCTCTCTAGCTGTGCTATTCTTTATGAGTGTTTTGCTTACATGTATGTATGTGCCTGGTGACTGCTGCAATGGTCAGAAGATCCCTGGAACTGGAGTTACAGATGGTTGGGAGCCACCATGTAGGTGCTGGTGATCAAATTGGGGTCCTCTGCAAGAGCAAAACATACTCTTAACTGCTGAGCCATCTTACCAGCCCCATTGCATTCTCTTTTTTTGAGACAGGGTTTCCCTCTATAGCTCAGGCATTTATACCTGTACACAGGTCATGTTATACCTGAGGGACTTCCTTTAGCTTACTGTGCATTGTAAATCAAGTACTGCTCACCCTGATGTGTGTTTAATGAGCACGTGTGGGATAGCCGCTCTGTGGAAATCTTGACACCCCCTGGTTTAATGGCTTCCAGTGAGTTCTGTGCTTGAGTATCTATCTCATCTGTAGGATAGGGTTGTTAATGTACCACACATACTTGAGGTCAGAACTACTTGAGCTGATAGGGAAGGAGTTGGGCCCTCTACTAGACATTAGAGTGCATCCAGAGTGTGCTAGCTGCCATTTGACTTTAGGTGTGTGGGTGTGAAGATGGGTAGTGGACTGTACCATGTAACTGTTTGTGTCAGCACAGTGAGGGCTTTGCTTATTACTGGATGTGATATATAAAGCTTAAAATAAGGTGTGACTTAATTCTCTCAAGAAGCTTTTTTTCAATGCTGGTGATGGAAGCCAGGGCCCCATGGAATAATAGGCTAGCATTCTACCACTGAGCTTCATCCTCAGGCTTGCCCTAAATTCTCTAAAAAAGGACAAGTTTATTTTTATGAGACAGGGTCTCATTACATAGCCCAGGTTGACCTTGAATTTATGATTATTCTGCCTCAGCATCTGAGGTGCTTTATTATAGGTGTGTATCATCATGCCCCACTCAGTCTGGAAGCTATGCATGTGCCTGAGTACATATTTCTATACATGGGAAGCAAGTCATGATTCCTGAATAACAATGTGGGGTTGGCTCTGGAGTTCAGTGCGCAGTACTGCAAGAAAATAAAAACAATGAAAAAAAATTACTTGCCCAGAAATTTTGTTCTTGAGTTGAGGGATTTGCAGTCATCCCTGGTATAGAGAGCTGGCCCATGAGAAGTAAATATTTGAGAAAGTGTAGGGACTTGGAGGCTACTGGGCCACTACAGGTCTGGTGACCATGAGTAGTGATGGCCTCTATAGACAGGTATTCAGTGGCAAAGTGCCCACTGGCTTATGTGAGGCTTCCAGGTGGTACACACCTCCTAGCCTTCAGAGGTCAGCTCCATGCATTCTGCTTCCTTTGAATGAATAATGAACTCTGTTGCTCCTGTACTTCACCAGCTGTCCTGTGTGATTACTGTGGATTTTGACTGCAGGCGCAGAATCCGCATTTGCTGTGATGAGCTGAATCTTTTAGTTCCATTCTGCAATGCGGAGACAGATAAAGCAACAACCCTTCAGTGGACCACAGCATTCCTGAAGTACATTCAGGAAAGACATGGGGATTCCCTTAAAAAGGTGAGTATTCATGAAGTGGACTTCAGTGTTCCTGAATTGTGTTCAGTGAAGATGGGGATTTTTCTTGATGTGGTGACTGAAAAGGCGGGCAGAAACTTGAGAATTTTCTGTTGCAGTTGTCAGTGTTGCCTCTGATCCCTTCTTCCTAGACTGCCTTGGGTATCCTGGACTCTGAGGTCAGATATGAAGTCTAATATAAAGGGAGTTCTGCCTATTGATGTCACTTACTAAAGTCATAGTCACAGCTGAGATTTTCTTATGAAATATAGATGACTGTCAAATATCAATTGTCAGATACCAAATTTAGTACCTGTTGTGTGCAGTATATTATATTGGGTCTGAATGGTATTCAGGATATGATTTTTTTCTCTGATAAGGACAACAGATATAGTTTAGTGGCAGGGTATTAGCCTAGTGTTTGTGAAGCCCTGGGGAGGGGAAAAAATGAAAGCTTTGAAAGAAATGAAAGTAAGAATAGCAAAAGTGGGGGCGGGTCTATGAGGAGCAGATAAATGCTGAACCAGTAGTCTGGACTTCTGCCTTCAGGTGGGTTCAGAGGCAATTGTTAGATTTCTGTGGTGTATATAACCAGTACAGGCTGAGCCTTTGATGCCCACACACTTCTTGTTCCTTGGGGACTGCTGGCACTCTATTTCTTTCTTTCCACACGTGGGCTGTAATAGCTGGCCAGCCCTCTTGGTTCTGCAAGGACTGATGCTTGGTTTGGGAGTTGGCTTAGCCCTGGGATGGACTGGTGGAAGAAAGGGAACAATTGTGGGTTGGTTCTGTGCTGTCCTTGGGAGACACCTGTGCTATGTTTTGGCCTCAGAATTCTGGTGGTCACAGCCTATGGCCTTAGAGAAGTAAATGAATTCCTGATATATTAGGGTTCTCTATAGGAACAGAACTGATAGAATGAAAGGGAGATTTATTAGAATGGCTTATAGGTTGTCTTAGGGTTTTTATTACTGTGAAAGACACCATGACCACAGCAACTCTTATAAGGAAAACATTTAATTGAGGGGGCTCGCTTACAGTTTCAGAAGTTCAGTCCATTATCATCATGTCGGGGAACATGGCAGCATGCAGGCAGATGTGATGCTGGAGGAAGAGCTGAGAGTCCCACATCTTACAGGAAACAGGATGTCAACTGACTGTCACACTGAGGGAAGCTTGAGCAAAAGACTACAAAGCCCACCCCACAGTGACACACATTCCTCCCACAAGTCCACACTTTCCAGTAGTGCCTCTCCCTTTGGCAGCCATTTTCTTTCAAACCATCACATTCCACTTTCTGGCCTCCAAAAGCTTATAGCCATATCATAATGCAAAAAAATTCATCCAGTCCAACTTCAAAAGTCCCCACAGTCTATAACAGTCTCAAACTTGTTTCAAAGTTTAAAGTCTCTTCTGAGATGCATGCCACTCTCTTAACTGTAATCCTCCTATAAAAATCAAAATCAAAAAGCAGATTACATACTTCCAACCTATAATGGCACTGGATATACATTACCATTCCAAAATGCAGGGAACAGAGCATAATGAAGAAATATTGGGCCAAAGCAAGACTGAAAACAAGCTGGGCAAACTCCAGATTATGTATCTTCATGTCTCATGTTGAAATGCTCTTCAGATCTTCAACTCTGTTCAGCTTCTCTCTTGGGCTGGTTTCACTTCCTGTTAGCAGCTGTCCTTGACAGGTATTCAACAACTCTGACATCTCTAACATCTTGGGTTCTCCAAGGCAATCTAGGCTTCAGCTTCACAACTTCACATAATGGCCTCTCTAGGCCTCCATTTAGGGAGTCCTAAATGGCCTCAGCAACTTTATTCCAGAACCATGTGGCCAAAGCTGCCAAGGTCTGCTGCTTGCTGGGACTGGAACATGGCCCCCTTCATCAACTTTCTGTTTCCTTCACTACCTAAGATTGGCTGTCCCTGAACTTGCTCTTTAGACCAATCTGGCCTCTGCCTTCCCAGTGCTGGGATTAAGGTGTGCCCCACCACATCTGGCTCTAAGCTTTTTTTTAGTTCCTTTTCACAAGTTGGAAATGTAGCTGGGTGGGATCTTGCCCTGAGGTCACCACTCCCTTTACTCCATCTCTTAATTTGAATATCTCCTTGAACATAGGATTTAGCTCTATTCCACTTTCTGTTGCTCTTTTTCTCCTCAAAATTTACCTTTTGTAATTTACCCTGCTCAGCTTGCTTTTTTTCATTATAAATCTTCATTAGAGTTACCAGTAATAACCACATGACAAAATCTATACTAGGCTGTTTTGAGATTTCTTCTGCCAATGGAATTAATCCAAAACTCTTCACTTTAGCCTCAGGCAGACCCTTTGAACAAGGGCAAAAGGCAGCAACTTTCTTCATCAAAATATCACAAGAACAAATCTCTAGGCAACATACGAAAATTCTTCTCCTCCTGAGCCCCTGACAGTTCAAATAACTCTTAGCACCCTATCTTCATTGCTCCTACTGGTGTGACCCATTACGCAGTGCTTAAAGCATTCCACTGCTTTCCTAACCCAAAGTACCAAAGTCTAAATTCCTCCAAACAAACATGGTCAGGCCTATCACAGCAATACCCCAGTCCCTGGTACCAACTTTTGTCTTAGAGTTTTCATTTCTTTGACCACAGCAACTCTTATAAGGAAAACATTTAATTGTGGGGGCTCACTTACAGTTTCACATGTCCAGTCCATTTCATGGCAGGGAGCATGGTGACATGTAGGCAGATGTGGTGCTGGAGGAATAGCTGAGAGTCCGACATCTTTCAGGCAACAGAATGTCAACTGACGGTCACACTGAGGGAAGCTTGAGCAAAAGAGACCATAAAGCCCACCCCCACAGTGACACACTTCCTTCAACAAGGCCACACCTCCTAATAGTGCCTCTCCCTTTGGGGGCCATTTTCTTTCAAACCACCACACAGGCCATGGTCCAGCTAATCCAGCAATGGCTGTCTACCAGTGGAAGGTCCAAGAATCTACAGTACACACTGGAATCCTGAAGAAGTAGGCTCTAATGCCAGGGAAGAGATGGACTTGACAGCAAGAGTAAGCAGGCAAAGAGAGAACACTTCCTTTTTCCATGTCCTTTTTGTAGGCTGCCAGCAGCTGTGGTCCACATTAAAGTTGGATCTTTCCACCTCAAAAGATTTAGATTCAAAGTAGGTTTTCCAGTTTGAATGATTTAATTAAGAAAAAAAAAATCCCTCACACATGTACCATCTGCTTGGGTTTTAGTTAATTCCAAATGCAGTCAGATTGACAACCAAGAATAGCCATCACAAGTCCACCTCTTGTCAACTTGACACATAATCATATCTCCTTATGTCATGCTTAATTTCTAAATGAAAACAATAACCAAGTCATAATTACAGCTAACATGATAGAACTATTCCCAAATACAATTGCAAATGTATCATATATTTAACCAGGTCATAAGTATGCCTAACATGACATAACTATTCCTCATATAACCACAAATGCATTATAAATTTAGAATAGGTGGCAGTGCCCCTTGAGGGACATCTTTTTAGTATCTCAAATATGATAACAACTGATATTCTGTTAATTGTTGTTACATTATATAATAAAGATACCAAGGAAAGAAAACACAAATATCTGTACAAACACATTAACAAAATATGACAAAAATATTCATGTCAACTATAATCATCGTTTCTTCAACTGTTCTCATGGCCTTAGCTGATATTTATAGCTAGCTTTCTCTACTACCCATTCTGTATTTCCTCCAGTATATAGTTAACCTTGTAAAAGGCTGTAAGTCTCTCTGGGGAAGGACCGAAGAAAGGCTAACAGTAAAACTCCTAGGTAATTTATCAAGTTCCTTCCTTGGGGACCTGGCCATCCCTTCATTCAAGGGGTTCTGCGTCTGTAAACTGTCTAAAGTCTGGAAACTGGTTCTAGGGCAGAGATTCCATTTGCCACAACCCAAATGTAGCCTTTTTTCATTGTTAGAGAATTTTTTCGCTTATACAGATCAAACAAAAAAGCAGTAGGCTTACCTATTTCATTCTTGGCAACACCATGATTGATTAGCCAGTACCAAAGGTCTATATTCATGACAACATAAAAGTCACTTTGTTCTGACCATTACAGGTCAGGCCATTATGGATGTCGCTTTGTCTGTGCTGCCCATTATGATAACTGAGATAACCTTGCCTTTGGTGATTCAGTGCTGCCATCAGGCCCCTGATACCCATTGCGTTTAATTCATCCAACTGAGTAGCAACATCTCCAACCCTAAGATACTGTTGCACAAGGAAAAGGGTGAAAACAAAGCTCTTCAAATGTGCTGGTGCCCCTCTCACTATTTTGTGTCTTGTAGTATTAGTGAAGGCATGCCTTCTGGACCTGCCCATTGTGGAGGATCAGGTTTTACACCGCATGCCCACACTGGCACTGCAGTTTCCCTGGATGTTAGAATCCCTTCATCAACACTAAGCCAAGGGATATCAGGCATCTCCAACTCCTTTTCAAAAGGCATCTTTTGACAAATGCTTCAGCCAACGATTCAAGCAAATTTGACACCTTTTTTAAAAACTGTGTGAGCTTCCCTATTAAACCTAGAACCTCCACTCAGAGGGCCTCTATCAATCAACTCAGCCTGATCCAGTTTTATGATCCTTCCACCAGTATCCCACACCCTTAAAATCCATTCCCACATATATTCCCCAGACTTCTGCTTGAACTAGCCAACTCATTAAGCTCGTAAGTATTGTAGTGTAGTGTTCCTTCTCATGGACTACACTTTCTTTTTCTTTTTTTTTCTCTTTTTTTTTTTTGGTTTTTCAAGACAGGGTTTCTCTGTATAGTTTTGGAGCCTGTCCTGGAACTCGCTCTGTAGCCCAGGCTGGCCTTGAACTCCCAGAGATCCGCCTGCCTCTGCCTCCCAAGTGTTGGGATTAAAGGCATGCGCCACCACCGCCCGGCTGGACTACACTTTCTATTTCCCTTTTAGGGGCCTGC